CACACCTTTCGTGTATCTGCAGCAAGTTCGTTATCCACAATAGAGATTACCTCAAATCCTAAAGGAATCAAAAGCTCCTCATAGCTAAAAAAACATTTAAACACGTTTGAGTTTTTAAACCAAAGAGAGGCAGGCATTGAGAGAGTAAGGAGAAGATTTATACTCTGAGACTGATACTTGGTAAAAGGAGGTCCACCAACGCGATCATTTAACTGCAAATAAGTAACACAAAAAAAAAAAAACACATTTCACCATCCCGATATACTCATCGAAAGGATCTATGAATTTATCAGAATATCCGTTCGATTGGCTAGAATCCATTACTTGATATTGAGAGAGAGAGACATGTTTTAGTGATTTTCTCTTACATGAAAGATCAATGTAGTAAGCTCTCCACCGGGTTTAAGAAGTTGTTCTATACGCTTAGCCCATAAAGGTCGCACTTTAGGTTCAAACGCAAAGAAGAAACTGCGAGAATTATGATAAATCACAGGCATATCAGATGGAGTTTTATTCTTCTTCTTCATATGAACCAAGAAAACAAAACAATATCTTATTATATAAAAGAGAGGAAGCGAGATGGAGCGGAGTGTTCGAAGATGGAGAGAGTTTGTTTCCATTGGAGAAGATTTCTCTGCAATTACGCGCCTTCTTCTCTCCTTCTTCTCTTCCAAATTTCTCAAACTTGAAATTAAGTTAAGTTAGATTTAATAGACCTAATTAAATTAGTGTTATTAATTTTTGTTTTAAGTGTTAAGTGTTGTTGTCACTATCACCATGGATAAAACTGAAGAGAGACATCTTATTATAAATCAATAATCATTACATTCAGAGATATAAAGTAAGATAATCAATTTATTCTTAAACGATTAGTAGATTATTGTGCCACATAGAATACTCTTTTTCTTGGATCAATTGATCTTCTTCCACCTTCCAAGCTTCTCTTTGCCCTGTTCATTTTTTTTTATAACAAATTTTATCAATTTTGTGTTTTAAACTGCAATTAAATCTCAGTTTGTAGATTTATAG